TTTAAGCCTCTATTAGAATTGACAGAAACTGAAGCAGATAACTCTAAATGTTTGAAGAAGTTTGTTCTAAGGATAGAATAAAGGGCAGACAAAAAGTGACCCTGACTTCTTTTGGAATAATTTAACACAAGCGGCCTGCTTGGAAACATACGGTCTTTTGGCGGCCTGCTGGAAACATACCTCTTTTGCTTGATTCAGCTAGCTGTAGCTGTGCTGTAGCAGGGATTAGTACTCTGAGCACAATGAACCCACACGATATAATGAAAAATACTGTCACTTTCCTCTTAGTACACGTACGCACATTTGTGCAAAACGGTGGAAGCCACGCTTATACATAATTCTGCATTAAAACGTCGTTCCTCTGGTTACCGACTACCCTGATTATTATACTGATTATTAAATAAAACTTATGAAAAAAATCTAATTAGCGTTCCAATTACAAATTCTTTAGTGTAGATATCAAACTTAAATCATCTAGTTCAGTATTTGTCAATTCTGTAAGCCTCTTACACAGTTTCATCACCAAAAGAAGTTCTTGAGAAGCAAGCAGCTTTCTATTTTTATGCAAATGACTTCTTTCGCAGTATGGGATAACGCAAACATCAGAGTGGAAGATCTAAATTTATTAAACTTGTAACATTTCCGTCAGAAAGCTCTTTCTTTCTACTTATTAGCATGACATCGGTGCAATACAAATTTTCCGTGTTCACAGAAGCTTTGTAAACATCCCTTGAAAATTGATTTTTCCTCTAACCGGGGGTTAGACTGATTAATTGTATATCACCATAAAAATGTTACCTTTTCTTTACGCTGAATATACTATCGAAGTTGTTAAAATCAGAGCTGAAAACTTTGGGAATTTCAAAGCACCTCCTAGGTACTTCGTAAAATGGCTTCTCTCATGTAACTAATCGCTGAAATGTTGCTGTTATTTGAACCCTTTCACTCTTAAGATCTCATTAGTCATTCCCTTTACTGTCTGCCATACGATTGTTATGATGTTAGCTAGGAGAATTTGATAATTGATTATATAATCACTATCCCCTAATTTATATTTTTTTCATTATCATCACTTGACCGTTTCATATTGTAATGATATTGTTAGAAGAAATTCTGTTATAGCCACTCATGGGTGTTACAGGGTTATGAAGTGTGTTCAAAAGCCACCGACGCTACACACCGATAACAAATTCACAATGTCTGCGAGCTATGCCCGAGTCCTGCTTACCAACCGAGGCAAATGTTGTAGAACGTGGTATTACCATGGCAACAAAGTTTTTAAGCCTACTGTGGCTTAAATATAGTTTTTAACCCTTTTACTTTGAAAACTCTTTTGTTAGATACGATGAGTCGACTTGTATCCCGTTTCCTGACTTTCAACTGGTATTTCTGTGAACTCTGCCATTTTATTACAACTTTCTGACAGAGTCGATTTTTGAGTGGGTAAAGTTAAGAAGTGAAAAAATGAAAAAAAGGAACTCTTGAACACTAATGTATCCAATAAATTTCTAATAAGATCATATACATTGTATCTTATTAGGAGAATCCTTGTTTATAGAAAAACTTATTAGCCTGAAGCAATAATTTAGGGAAGCTATACCCATTTAGTATACGCTATAGCAGTGGATAGCGTTGAGGGCGCGCTCTGATTGGCTACGCAAACTCCGAATAACCTTTGTTATTCACCCTCTAGCAACTCGCGCGGGATTCGCCCCCGAAAACATTGTAATCGTTGCGGAAAATAAATGACTCAAATCATATTTTTGTGTTATCATGATTATCTCACTGTTTTACTAAAACAGCTTATCACCTCAGTGTCAGTGGCTAGCGGTGGATATTCACCTCGCTGCATCACGGCTCGATCGTTAAATATCAAACACCAGCCACCTCAACCTCGGAGAAAAGTTGTGAAATAGCTTTGTGAACTATTCAGCATATCGCGTTCATACTATTTTTGTCAACTCGTCCCCTTTTTGGTATTTATTTCCAATATCGATGTTAGGGAAACGGCGAGACTAACTTTTGTTCGTGTCATTAGTGCATAACTGTCCAATTATAGCGTCGACTTATCCAAGTCATTTGCAGCTTTCAACTTCGTACCTCGAGTCGTTCTAACTCCATGGCAGCCAAGAGCTACCAGCCAAGAGCTATAAGACTATAATAACACAAAATATTTATTGACATTCGACCTATCTAACACATACGATAATCTTAGTTTGAAACTATCACTGTGGTTTTAAAAATCTGATGACAAATATCTAAAAACCACACAATTTCTTCCTTTTCCTTGCTTTGATTCTTCTCCACATGGAAAAGATATGAAAGACAGAAAAAAGAATATTTTTCTATCCATTTCCTACTTTTCTCTTCCTCGTTTATTAATCCACGGTTCAAATATACAATATTCACATATTTCACAGTCTTTCATTGAACACAATTCGTGCCTTTTTCGTATCTCACTTCTCAAAGAATTGTGAAGCACTAACACTGGCTACTGTTCAACTGAATTTAATTACACTGTAATAAAAATATAGGTGAAAAACAAAAGCTAGAGAATTTTGGAAAATAATTATCATTTTTTTATGTAAACATTCATGTATGTTCATAATAGATAAAACAAATTTGCACATTCTAATCAATTAAATTTCCAAGGATATTTTTGTCAATATACCACCAGTGAGGCACTTTTTCGACTCTCAAGTAACTCCTGAACGATCAGTCTCATTTGAAAACACTTGCGTATTACCAGTTCTGCCATAGATAAAGTTTTTTATCAATTTTTCTCTCTCTGTAGGTCTTTGTTCCAGATGTTGTGCGAGAAATTTGGAAATTTCTGAACAGATAGGTTGTCATTTACCCCACGATGTTATAGGGTTCTCAGTCAATAAGACGTTTAAGTAGTAAACAAGGACACGGAACTCTGGTGCTGCTAAATTTTTTTAGGCGTTTTTACGATTCAGGTCTGTGGGTATGCCTTGTGTTAGATGATAAAAATGTTGATGGCATTTACGAAGTGTGATCGAATCGATGACTGCATGCAAGAGAAACAACTGAGCTGCTTTTTCGTCAGGCAAGACCCAAAGTTGTTAAGCAATTTAGTTCTAAAAACGCCATGGAACCTTCTTTGCAAAAAATAGGAGGCAAATGGAAATATCCTAATTTATGTCCAGTCCAGTTCCGACTCGACTCAGGATAAGGTTTTAATGAAGAAGAAAAGTCAATGTCTATGCGTTGACAGCATTAACTGGTGAAATACATTAGTTTACTTGTTGCTCTTTTTCTCTTTCAGTTATTCAGAAAGCTCGTGAGCTCGAATGATTTATTGAAAATAAATAAGATAACTTAGTTGCATAACATTTTCGTCCAAAAAAAAAAGGGTATACTTTCTGTCGAGCCGCCTTTTTTCTTAGAAACGACAGAGCCGGCCACGCTGCCCTTAAATTTCCTATCTTTGGGAACTGAAAACAAGAAAGAGAAAAAAAAAACTTGTATGCTGTACTCAAAATGATGGATCTTCTTTTTGTTTTTCGTTCACACTGGCAGGAACGAGTCTTTCAGTTCGGTTAAATTTATTAGAGGCAAGGTACTCTGATTTATCTTACCTGTCTTTCTCTGCCACACCCTGGTATATACTGCTGCTATTCTGATCGAGGAGCGTTTCACCCCAGTTGCAGGTGTAGATCAGACTAAAAATTCCGTATCTTTATTGCCTCTCTCGACATGAATGGCTCAAATTGAAATGAAAACTGTATATTGGCGCTAACGCAAATGATATGAAAATTTTGAATTATTTACTTATCTTTGCTTGAACCATGAAACGCATTCGTGACAGGAGAATATAAATATTGATATTCTACTGTTCGTGATTATTTTGCGTATGTTACGCCCAAACCGCAAACAAAGATGATAAGTTTTGCATGTTAAAGTCTAATTAGATATCCAGGTTTATTCAATGACCTGCCCATATAACTCACCAGAAGGTCTTAATGCCGCGATAAACCGTTAGCCGTAAAAAGGGCAACAAAAACGACCCAACCGTTAGACTTAAAAATTGATATAACAATATTACGGAGCCTTGAGGGGGGACATAGTTAAACTTTATCGTGACACACCAAAATCCTCTCCCCCCGCCTCCCAACCCAGGTGATAAATAAAATATATCCCTGAGTTTCATGAAATTTCATAAAAATTCCCAAAATCGGGCCAAGTTATTCAAGAGTTACATATATTTCGGTTTGAGCATTGGGCAAAGAATAAGGAAATGAAAGAAAGAAGTCTACATTTCAACCCCTAAAGCACAGTTCGTATCTTTATTTCTCGGCGAATGGTGAACTACTGATCCTCGCCGTTGTTTAAAAATAATTGTGAATTACAAAGCTGGAGAATACGAGTCGTTGCGCTAAGCCAGTATCTATGAGATCGCGTTTCGAGCCCTTCCGAAACCTGAAGTTTCTTCACTGGTTTTTCCTTGATGTGCGATTTTGGTAATTGCAATTTACTATTGAGGAGCAATTTGTCATGCATCATAAATACGTTAAATTACGATTCTTTTCATACATTTGGCGATCAATTTTCTTTCTGGGAACAAAGAACTCGCTCATTATTTGTCACAAATGGTTCAAGCCCTTCTTTCAAATCTAAATTATTGTGGCAGGTCCAACTTTCTGCTATTGCTTTGAAAGCACTGAACCGTTAAGGATCAAAATTGGTTTTTGTTCCGCGTCAATTTTGCGCGGGGGGAAAACGTCTTCAGCAAATGAATTGAATATCAATATAATAAATTTTCCTGGCGCAAATATATTATCGACAATTATTACATTAAAACTAAGAATTCTCATTTTAATTCTGGCTTGCAGCCTTATTTCTTTAAATTTGGAAATTCCAACAAACGTCTCACTGGCATTTTTCAACTCAGCTGAACAACACAAACCAACCCAATATTCCTCTGCATACGCATAATCAGTTAAAATACAGCATCAGATCTAACGACAACCATGTAGTAAACGTAAACAACTTTGTTTAATTAGTTCAACAAGAAAAAAAGAAAGAGATTTTCACATTGGTGTAAAACATTTGACCAAAACGATCAGTGTAGTCACTAACGACACAAACATTATAGCTTGTTTACATCTCAAAAAACAGGAAAATTATTACTCAGAAGTTAATTAACTGAATAAAGAGGAATAACATGCACAGTTGGTTTTCCACAGTGCCGCCAGATGAAATCACTAAACTTCATCAAGAAGTCAGCCAAACGTTTTAACGATTTTAAGCTGCTCCCATCATTCAAGGTCATCCATCTGGAACAAACAGCTGATTCGAACTGAAACAAAACGTATTCAGATGAATAACTGATTGGATAAATCAGTAAAATTAATCAATAGTGTTGGTCCAGATTTGAGAATCAGTAGAAATAATCTGATTGTCCTCCATGATCTATAAAAAAATTATCATGAAAAATGTGCTCACATGTTTTCAAAAATAGCCAAAGTTTTTCCATACTTTGTACCAGAAATGTATTTGTACATCAAGTTCAAGGTCGCTCAACGAAGTAACGCTGAATTTATTGACATGGACAACATTGAAAGAAGCTCCTTATCAAGGCAACAGTATATGTTGCTAGCATTAAACTCCCAATATCTCCCCTATAGCTGCCACACATTTTCTTGTAAATCAGTAACAAGAATTTGGTGTTAGATCAAGATAACTTCTTCTTCATTAGATTGAGTATTCTCATTATCTGTCTGCTGGAGAACGTATGGAAATTATTGGGAGATGCTACATGTTCATCACTTCTACAAGCAAACAGGTTAGGACTACATGATGGCCCACAATAGTTGAAGCTCAGAATTCATATAAAAAAATATATAATTTCAATTCTCTTCCATAGCTTATCAACAACAGTGCTCACAGAATCTTTTCCAAAGCAGTTCTCCTCATGTTTAGCAGTAGAAAAAATTATAGGTTCAGACCATGAAATTAACATGTACACACCCTCTAAGTGAATCTCATTGTCAAATAAATGGTTCTCACACATTGAATTGTAACAGTCTACATGATCTATGTACCAATAATCACCTTGACTGTACACATTTTCCTTGCACATGCAGTGGACCATCAAGGCTGGGCTTTGCGTATTGCCTCCAGAATCTTCTCCATTTTGCTTCCAGAGTCCACATATCCATCACCACCCTAAAAACAAGATTAATACAAACTGCTGTGTTAGTGCAAATCCTGAAAGGGGGCAGTGCACATTTTTAAGATGTACACAACTTTACATTTTGCTTAAAATTCACTTTGCTTTGTTCAAAACACATTCGATGTGAGGAAAATAAAAAGTACTCTGAAATCACACTGAGGCTACATATTTATTTTATGTCTGTAAGATTGGGAGGATTTACAGTAAACCCTGCTTACTCTAACTCTAACAAAAAATTGTTTTAGTTAGCAGGGGTTTGAGTTAGCTGATAGTAAATAACTGAAAAATAGGGTCAAGGAAAATCAGATCTTGTTCAAGTTACCAGGGGGTTTGAGTTAGCAAAGTTCTACTGTAGTTTTTAAAGTGATTTGACTTTACTAGCCTAGAGGAGGTTGTCTCGAAAATTGAAGGAGGTCCATGATGTGAAATTTTGAAGGTTCAGAGTGACAACATTCAATACTTTCACCTTTTTGGAATGAACAAGTTTACCAGCCACCTCTACTTCCAAATAACCTGTTACTCCTGGTGTTCCATATCCTTCCTGGAAAATATACACATGTATATTTAATCAAGGTTTAGAGAACTTTTTTCTTATTCTCTCAATTCAACAAACTTCACAGTACATACCACTTCTACTTCTGTGTCATCAAACTCTTCGAGGATCTCTTTTTTGATCTTCTCAAACTGGAGGGAATAAACGAAGTAAGTCCACTTAATACAAAGTGTTTCCCTCTTCAAGCACCAACCACTAAAATTTAGCACCTGTGGAACTTCATATGCCATACAACTTCCTAATCTTGCTTGGAATTCTTAAAAAATTCAACAGGTGATAGGATTTCTCTACCAGTTTAAAAATCTCTTTTATCCTGTTTTGCAGGGTAAAAGAGATTCAAACTGAATGCAAGCTCATAATTTCATGCAAGGGGGATTTCTTGCCACATGTTACTCATTGAAATAAGAGTGAAAATTAAAACAGATGGCAAACCAATAATTTTTTTAACACAAGAAGGTTGCATGCAGTCCATCACTGGCTACTTCTTATTGCTCTGAACTAACTCTCTGATTTACAGGACCCCTAAATTTCAATGATGGCTGGCAGTGCAAAACAATTTGCTTAATTACCCACAAATGTTCTTTCTAGGACATTTTTATTAAATTCATGGAGTTTAAAAACTCAGTGTTGCAGTGTTAACTCAAAAGTTAGCAAACTAGAGCACAAGTAAACTTCATCTTAACCTCCCTGGGCAAGACTTCTGCACAGTGCAAAATTTCAATTTGATTTACAGTTCTTGGATGAAGATGACAATAGCAAAAACAATAGATTGCCTGCTGGTACTACAGCACCTTTCCCATTCCTGTCTTACAGGGGTGAGGAGAAATGTTTATATGAGAAATCCTTCACTTTCCTCCAATACTCATGCAAAGTGAGTTGCCTTGCCCCTCCCTCCTAAAGGTTTGTGATCGGGTGGGTGGAGGGGATGGGATTGTTCCTGCTGCAAAATGCAACAACCCTTGGAAAGCAACTCATTAAAATGCAGAGTTAGGTACGTAGGAAAGCAGATTGTCGATAAATGCTGGTAATATCACGAGTCAATTGTAAAAAAACTAAAGCAAAAAAAGTTCGTTGTTGATAATAGTTTGCTTTAAAACGGTAAACCGTAAAATTTTTCTGGGATTTGGCCAATACAAATTCAAATCGAGTAATGGGTTTTGCTGCGTCATGCACACTTTTCACTGGTTTGCGAAAACTAGCCATACTTCTGCTCATGTTAATAATCTTGACAAGCTCGCATTAGAAGAATCATACCTTGGGCCTGTACCCTCATCCACCACTGCAAAGGAAACACACAAGTTGTGTGATTATTGAGACTCAGTAAAGGCAGTAAGTTTTTAAGTGATTAGGCAACGAGGTAGACAGTGCGAAAGCAAAATTTTGATGCAAGTCTTGCACGACATTTAACGACAAAGACTCAAGTAAAAGTATAAACAAGTCTGCTTACCAATAGGTGATCTTAACCTTTACTGGCATATTGCTGTCGAAAAGTTTTAACGGTCGTAAAAACCTGAAAAATTGCAATACTCTCGCCACGACGTGTTGCGACAAATACTGCCAACGCCTTCACTAATACAATATGTTTCACCCAGAAATGATTGCGGGTAACGAAGGTGTTTCCCTCGGGTACACAGTTAGGCACCTTTTTCCCGTTCGACGTCCTGTAAAACATTTCCGGCAGTTTTTTTTTTTTCTTATTCAAACCTATAAAAAATTTTGTCATTAGGTAATTTTCGGGCTATTCACTCATATTTAATGACTATAACTCTTGAAATAAGGGATTATTGAAGCTTTATTTATACCCTCAGCCTCCCCTCCCCTAGAAAACTTTCTACTCTCCCAGAGTGCACCGTAGGCGTATTCTACAAAAAATAAAATAGCGCGCGCATTTCAAGTGAGTTTCACGGAGGAAATGTTTTCTTAGTCTTCACGATTTCAATATTTTGTTGACTGTTTGATATGAATACTCCGAGTGTAAAAGATCTACAGGATGACGATTCTCCTAATCTCTACGCAGTGTTCAATGTTTGGGAACCGCCCAGACGTTTGAGTCGGTCTACAAGGTAAAGAAGGACAATTTTCTTTAAGCGCGCCCTGGAAAACCATGAGTTGATAATGATCTTGAGTTTCTATTACCCAGTTGTTCATTTATATGATTGTTGTAATTTAGATCTAAAGAAATCTTGGGTTTTGCAGAAGCTTGTGTAGGTCTTTGTGAAGTGTTCGATCTGCCAAGTATAGCTATTTTGATGAATGGGAATATTTCTTGTTGGTTTTGAACAAATTTAATTATTGTTATTGATGATTCGTAAGTTTCCGCGCGTTCGATTCCATGATCGCCTCGTTTTACACGCAATGTACATGCTACAGTGTTAATGCTTTATGAGAAAATTGATTAACTTTTCCCGTTGAAGCACAAGTGGCAAAATTATTACCTATAATACTTTTATTACAAAGACATGCATGTAATTGCAGACCAGTTTTGAGTGTAAAAAGCTGCATTAGAGTTCCTTTGTCCTTTTTCTTTTGGAAGAGAAGCCTTTAACGTCATCTATTTCTCATGAGTTATTAAAATCACCTGTTAAGTGAAATCTTTTTAAGTAAGTAATATAATGAATTATTTTCTGTAGATTTCCTCTCTTGTGTAGGGTTCTTTGAACCCTTTAGTGACCAACACAGAATTTCTCCTTACAATATCAGTACAAGATCAAGCAGGCAAGCGATGAAAATAAAGAAATAAAATTAATCAGGAGATTGTTAGTTGATTCAATACCAATTTCTCTGAACTAACATCAGAAGAATTGCAGGGCAGGCAATAATGAGAATTACAAATAAGATCTCGGAGCATAAATAAGTTGTGTTGAAGATGATGATTAAGATGATGACGATAATTATAATTATTAAATACATGAACTATTACACTTACTTTATTTATGGTAGAATTTTACTACTTCTTGGTTATTTCTTTTCTCTGTCTGCAGTGATAAAGAAAGAGGAGACAACAAAAAATGCTTCCATTGCCGTTTCCCACTACCGCTGCCAGAACAAATCATAATTTTTAGTCTTGGAAAATGGGAAGTGAATTTCAAGGGACAGGAGATAATAGCAGAAGTATCTCTTGAGGCAGAGACTCCACCTCAGAAAATAGGCACACTATCATGCAGGAGTAAAGCACTTTGTTGGGATGAGGGATGGAAGACAAAGTTTTTTAAAAGAAGTGAAGAGCTTACAGAAGAGGTACTACATTTGTATTAGAATATTGCTGTTTTGCCAAGGATTATTCCATCAAGAGATCTGTCCCTAATTTTTCTTTCCCCTTGAAGAAAGAAGAGCATTTGGAGAGGAGGGTGTGAAACCAACCAGTGTCAAATCTTGTGCTATGTCTCTTTGACTTCCCCTTATTTTTTTAATATTTGCCTCAAATCAAGGCAGACCATTTTTGTTCATGTTTTGCCCTAATTTCATCTTTTGATTTAGAAAAATATTGTATACAAAAAAAACCCAGTCTCATTTTGGCTGTCATTGTGAGTCATTGTGAGTCCTTTGTTGTAACTATAGCAATTGAATTTGAGTCTCGGGGTTTGTTCAAAGTTTACTCTTTACTGCTATTTTATTTTTAGAACATTATAATGCATAACTATGCAATACAGACTAAACTAAAAAAATAATAGCCTTCTACAGTGCAGACCCACATTTATCATAGATTATGAATTAATTTTGATGCTTTATTTTTTAGGGGCGAATGGCTAAGCTGACCCTAAGAACTGTGAATGAAAAATGCAATGATGAAAAAGAAAACAAGAAATTTTGTGAACATGCTGTACTATCACCAACACAGGAAACTCAAAGAGATTCTTCCAAGAGTCCTGTCACACCAGGAAGTTTAAAAAACCTGAAGCAACAAAAGCTCAATTTCAATGAATGTACAAAGATGGAGTATTCTCCTGTGGAACCAAAAGATGTCATTTCACCCCCACCCACTAAGAAACGGAGACAGAGCAATGCTGATACGTGAGTAGACTCTTAACCCTTTACACCTCAACATCAGTATGCATATTCTCCATACTGTTCTCTATACATTTCCCAAGGTACTGACAAGGAGAATTAGCATAACAATCTAGAGGTTTTGTAGTTTTTGATCATTTCCATTATTCTCATGACCCTAATTTGTGATTCAGGGAAGATATTGTAAGGAGAAATTAGATGCTAATCACTCTTAGGGGTTAAAGGGTTAACCCTTTACACCTCAACATCAATAGGCATACTCCCCATGCGGCTCCCTAAACATTCCCTAAGGTGCTGACAAGGAGAATTTCAAGAGCTTAGCATCTTTAGTTGGTGATCATTTTAAATATTCTCATGACCTTAATGTGTGATTCGGTGATGATATTGTAAGGAGAAATTAGATGCTAGTCATTCTTAGGGGTGAATTTCTCAGAGGTCTGTGCTACAGTTTATCAGTTTTGGAAAGTGTGATTAAAGTATAGACATATACGCCCTACTAATTTCTATATAATGAGCTGAATTGCACAAGTTTTTTAATTTGCTCTTGGTAGATCTATTGGAGGACAGATGCTTAAATGAGGTCACCATTATCAACATTTTGCTTTTTTATCAAATAAATGAACCCTTAAGAGTGACTAACATCTAATTTCTCCTTGCCATATCACCCCTGAATCAAACATTGAGGTCAGGAGAATAAAGGAACTGATCACCAACTATAGAAGCTCTTGATTGTTAGACAAAATCTCCTTGTCAGTACCCTGAGAAATATTTAGAGAACAGTATGGAGAATATGCATACTGATGTTAGGGTGTAAAGGGTTAATAAATTCCATATTGCCAGGTATCTGTTCAATAAAATAGATCACAGAAGATGTTGTAATGTGGTAAGAACATCAGTGGTACACTTAGTTGCACCTTAGGTTCCTTTTATTTTTTTTTTTTTTTTTGTCCTTACCACACATTAACCCTTTAACTCCTGTGAGTGACCAAGACAGAATTTCTCCTTACAATATCAATACAATATCAACCAGATAAGAGAAGAGAATAAAGAAAAATATCAATTTGGGGATAATTAGTCGATCCAATGCTAAATTCTCTGAACGAACATTATAAGAATTGTATGGTTGACAGTAAGAAGAATTACAAATTTGATCTGAGATTTAAAGGGTTCATCTGTGATCTTACCGAACTGAAGTTCAGCAACATAAAAAGGAATCAATTTGTTGATCAGTTAATCCCATGTCCTTCATATTAGCCTCAGGTAAATTACAGTCTTCATTGGGTAACTGTTCCTTTTTTTTTCTTCTTGCTTTTAAAAGTCCTATTCAAGGTCAGAGACAGAATTCCAGAAAAGGTTCAAGTTGTGCCAAAAAGAATCACAGAAACAATCCAGTGAAGAGTCCTGATGTGCTGACACCACCTGACACTCCATCAACCATCAACATGGGTGATGGTAAGTTTATGAAAATCTCATGATACACTTTATTCTAAATGCAAGAAATAATATGTTGAAGAAATAATCAGAATGAGAGAGTTGCATTACATACTATGGTGGTCAAATAGCACTCCATCACATTATTGGAAATGTATCCTTAAATTTGCACTTTGAAATTATCACACTCTATAAATTTTCTATGCAAAATCTCAAGAACGTGTCATTTTGGGCCACATTTTTTGTCATGTATTGTAAAAAGAAGTAGTCCTGAAGAGTAAATGAATGTCTGCATGGAAGGCAACTCATATCTGTTTTCAACTTTTTTTTGAATTATATGGAATACAATGGCAAGTAGTTTCTTACTGTATTTTCTTGAATAAGTGCATACACTCTAATATGACTTATAGGTGTCCCCCCTAAAATAAGTGCCCACCCCCCTCAGGCTAATTCATCAATAAGTGCCCCCCCTCCTCTGTTACTTACTCCAATAATAGGGATACAAGGAAAACCTGTTTCTATTGCCACTTTATCTATAACTTTTTAAGCTTTGACTAAATTGGAATCAGAACAGTTTAGTAGCTTCCTAATTAGCACCCCTTTTACTTAACAATCTTTTTCCAATAGGTTCCCCTCCCTTAAGCCAAAATTTTAAATGAGCACCTGGGCACTTATTCAAGGAATATGGTTTAAACAAACTGGTATATTTACTTGTATTAATTAGTGCCATCAGGCCGATGGGGGCATGACATGTGTTTGATTGACAAGAGGAAGGCTATTCTGATTGGAGGACAAGGAAACAAGCAACAGATGGCAAAAGATTCTGTTTGGACTCTGAATTTGTCCCAAGGTTAGTTATGCCATGTCTTTTCCACACTTCCTATGGAAAAATTAGTTTTACAGGGCTTATAAAATATGTGTAGCTCAGCACTCTTTAAGTTGCTACATGGAAACCTTAAGTTATAAAATGGTTGTGTCAAATAACATTTCAGTTCCTCATCCCAAAGTGGAACTGAAAATTTGTACAACATTCATAATTACTTATTTGAAATATTTCAAGCAAATATATATCACTTTACAATTTATACCATGATAAGCAATAGATGATAAGGATACTGATAAATGTACTTGCTGCATGACTGTAGTA